CTCTCTCTCTCTCTATCTCTATCTCTATCTCTATCTATCTATCTATCTCTATCTTTATCTACATCTCTCTATCTATACATTGCTCCCTTACGCGTCACCCCCTCTCTATCTATCTATCTATCTATCTATATATCTGTCTATCTCACTCACTCTTTCACTGTGCGTGCGTGAGTGGATAGGTGCGTACGCGAGTGCACGATTGCCGGCGGAGGATTGCGATCGCAATCGATTAGACTTGACCGAGCAAGGCGATTGCCCCCTTTTTCATCCGTCTTTCTTTTACGGGCGCCGGTGTGCGCGTCTCCTGGCTCCTTTGCAGGCGTAGGACGACGAGCTCTCGTGAGCTGATCAAGCCGTTCTGGTTTTGCATGCTAATGTACTACACGTCGTTGCGTTACCTCATTTCTATACTTTCTTCATTTCTGAATTCGAGGGACATGTCTGTCTTGTTGAACGAAGCTAATAAACAACGATTTAGTAGCTGTAATACTGTTTGCGTATATCGCGTCATTTTATTCTTCTTTTACACATCAATATAGTTCAACATTCTAATTTAATAGCCATAGATTTATAATCGGATTTGGATGTATCATATCCTTTTATTGACTAATCTATTCAGAATTGCCTGCGATAGAATATTAATTAATAAAAATTATCCATTGAAAGTCGGTTACATTTGTTCTTCTGAAATGTTAAATACACAAACAGTTTAAAATTGGCAAATTTTTTATATATCTCCATATAAAAATAATAAACAAATTATTTTTATTTATTAGAGCGTTTGTAGTTTTTATTTTATAACATTTTAAAAATCCTTATTCTGCTTTAAATCAAATTCTTAGCTTATATTGTGTTACAAAAGAGTATGATAATCTACATTTCGATATATTTTTATATTAAGCGAATATTTGTAGAGATTTGTCGATATGAAAGTTGTTATAAAAGTTTTGTAACATCGAATTAAATTTATATCATATTTATTCTATTCAGACTCTCCTGAAAATTCTTTATACATACTTAATAATATTAAAAAAAATACTTTTCAAAATTATCGGCATCAGTAATATCGTATCAAATTAATGTGACATCATACATAAATAATATGAGATTACGTATTTTTGTTTTGTCGAGTGCATCGATAGTTAGATATGATAACATTTACCTAAATGAAATAAAATTTTCAAATCACACTTTTTAACACACTTGCAATGCTATTGGCCTAATCTTATTTTTGATAACGATAGATAAGTAAACAAAGAATATACGTGGTGATATTAATAATTGTATTTTAAATTGAGATTTGTGTGATAAGGATAAAAAAGACGTAAAAAATATATATAATTTTTATATTAAAATTTTTTGCATTAAATAGGGTTTGAGTTTGAAAAATTCTTTACGGGAGCGTATTAAAATATAGAATATAGGGTAAAATTAATTAGCATAAATCAATGTCGATTATTATAGATTAGTTAGTATTTACATAAATAAAAGATCTATTAAAAATTTATTTGAATGTGATGGATATAGTGAAAAAATGTCAAGAGTACTATTTAATTTTACTTGTGAATGAGACAAAATTGTATACGAATATTATTTAATTAAAATACTTAATAGTTTACAAACTATTTCTCAATATTAAAGTTTCTTCTTATGTTTTTTTTTTTTTTTTTAATAATAAGGAAAGGAGTTTAAACATAATAAGCTATCAGAGCACTGAATAATTTCTAAATTTCTATCCTTAAATATTAAATTTCAAACGCTGCGAGAATGTACAGAATTTTTTTCCCTTAATTTTATTTTATATTAATATTTCTTACTGCAAAGTATTCCTTAAAATAAATGAATAATTAACGTTCCAATGTTTTTCCATTTAAAAATTATGATATTACTACAATAACTTTAAGCGAATTAATGTATTAGAATATATATATATATATATATATATATATATATATATTTGGTAATTCTTAATAGTAGTACAGAAAGGAATGGTTAAGTGATAAACCTAATAAAATCCATCATACTCGATTGAATGACTTTCATCGTCATTGTATACAAATTCAATTTTTTTTATTATCAATTGTTCACTATGTAAAGAAGCTAAATTATTATTATATATTTAGACTCGATTTAGGTGTTTTCCATAAAATTCTAAAATATTTTATAATATTCCAAACTAAAGCACACGAATAGGAGTTAATATAAACATATAGAAATAAATATAATTTAAAATAAGTAATATGAAAATTTTTTAGGTATTGTATGTAAAATTGTAATAAAAATAATTTTTCGTATATAATATACAATTTATTTACATTTATTTTATTTCAAATTCTCATTAAGCAATAAAAAAATGAAATGTAAATTGATACTCATAATACACATAATATATTCCTATGTGATTCGTATGCTATATATACTGAATAATTTTTAATTGTGTTTGATGTTTTATTACACACACACACACATACATATATATATATATATATATATATATATATATATATATATAATAAATAAATTTATGTTTTGTTTTATATTTTCTGTAAAATATGAAGGAATATTATTCCAATGCTTTTAATATACATAAAAATTTTATTATCCATATATATATGTATATATATATATATATATATATATATATATATATGCGTATGTACATTAATAATACAAAATTGCAATGACTATTTATTTATATGTATTATATAAGATATAAAACGACTATAGCTATCAGGAATATATTATGTGATTTTGATTTGAAGTAAAACAGTTGAATATGAATGATTTAGATTAATTTAGCGTATAATTAATTTAGAATTTATAATTATTTATAATTAATTAATTTAGACGTAATATTCACAAATGATATCGACACGAAATTCGATATAGAAAAATCTTTAAATACTGAAATGTAATGATAGCTATAATCATGTTGGTAGACTCCTCTTGTAAGAAAAATAATAATCCAATGATAATTATAGCATTAGAATGCCATATAATGTTAGCTTTTTCTTAGTTACGCAATAAAAACTAATAATGTATTTAAAGAATAAATATATTTATTAAAAAATATTCAAATAGAATATATTTTTTTAATTATATTTGTAATGATATTGGAATAATGATTATAAATATTGAAATATATGTTTAATAAATATTGTAAAAATAGCCAAAGAGATAAAATTTCTTATTACATTAGAATTGATAAAGTTTAATAAATGTTTAATTTTAAGTTTATGTGAAGGATTTTAAAAAGTTTGAATTTTAATGTCATTGCCATTCACATAACGAATATTGATGTAATGGATCTCATCTATATTATTCTGTATGCTATATCTAAATTCATAAAATCAGAAATAATTTTACAATGATGTGATAAAAAGACGCATATAATTAGCAAAACGGTAAATGTATTAAACTAAAAGAAGCTGTTTACCTTGTAAAATGCAAGAATCTCGCATACACGGTTATTATTAAAATCGTTTTATATTGAGCGCAATATTTATGTAGCATACCTTGTAGGAAAATCCTCTTACTCGCATTTATTATTGTAATAAATTTGCCATTATTTTCGACTTAAAATAAGTGCCTCGCACGTACACTCTAAAATCATCGATCGAAAAGCCACGAAATAATATAATCGGTATTACCTACGATCGCAAGCGCGCACGAGTGTCCCACCGAGTACTTCATAAAACCCAAATGCGAGTGACTGAAAATCATGCTCGCAAGCAAGAGAATTCTTACACAATTATCCTAAAAAATGGAGCTCCGGTCGAGAGGCCAAAAGAAGCCGCGTAAGCTCATTTGTGCACCCCGAGCGCAGCCGGTGCAGCGGTACCACAACGCATCGCGTACTGGAAGTACCAAGTGGACTTACACGACGTTTCACGCCTTCTCTTGTTTTTCATTGGCGCCACGGCCGTTTCTATATTTACGCCCGGGAGCGGCAAGTGCACCCGAAAACGATTGTCTGGCATTTTTTTTTGTGCGTTACACGCGTGCGCACCTAAAGCGTCACGGCTCTATAGTTTTGCCGTTCTTTTGCCGGAATTTTAACGTAGGCGGTGCGCGGTGCGTGTTGCGTGTTGCGTGTTGCGTGTTGCGTTTTGCGTCGTGCTTTCAGCGCTTTCTCCACTTCGAATCTTACCGCGGCGCCTTCCTCTGATCCTTATTTTCATTTCTCTTGCGCAATTTTTCAAACATCTAGTGGTCCGTCATTATGTGCCTATGTAAATATACGCTCGTTTAGTTATCAAATCTCTGCCTTTATACATTATTTCTATTTTGAACGACTCATACGTGTCTTGATATATATTTATTGTTGTTAACGTAAGCGTGAAAACGTTGTTGGCTAAATCTATTATCTACTAGGTTTACGGATAATCGCAACACGCAACATATATTATTTTACTATTATTGAGCTAAATATCTCTCGAAAGGTTTGAAAGTCTAATTATTGAATATTTATATATCAGCCTATATATATATATATATATATATTTACCAAGATTAAATATGGTGTTATAAGAAAACGATATGTGAATGCAATTATAATTTGATAAAAGATTATTTTCGATTTTTAATTATTTTTCGAAAATATCTTATAATATTATAATATGAAAATAGTTCTTATATTTGTGCACACATATGAATTATTGGATATCCAAAGAATAATGAAGTATTTCATTCGAAGAAAAAGTGTT